ATAACGATGTATCCTGCTTGAGCTTGCAGGGCCAGAGGGATGCGTCTATGTGTGCCGAGTTGAGACAGGTTGCCGATGGCTTTGCCTATAGGGTCAGGTCATTTTCCGGTTATGACGTGAATGGATATTGCTTTCGCACAACAAGCTACAAGCAGAGTCGGTCCAATCGAAGAACCACAAGTTCCAGAGTTTTTACGCCCGGCGTTGATGAGGTCGAGTATTATGGAAGAATTGAAGAAATATATGAACTCAAGTTTCATGGTTCCAAACCTTTTAATCATGTCATATTTAAATGCCATTGGTTTGATCCTGAAGTAACGAGATGGACATATTCTAATCTTGGGCTAGTCGAAATTCGATAGGATTCCGTTTTACCAAGAGACGATGTCTATATTGTGGCCCAACAGGCCACGCAAGTTTATTATCTCCCATATGCGTGTCAAACCAAAAGTCATCTTAAGGGTTGGGATATTGTGCACAGGGTATCACCACATGGTAAAGTGCCTGTCCCAAACGATAAAGATTACAACTTAGACCCAAACACATATGACGGAGAGTTCTTTCAAAAAGAGAGACTAGAAGGGAGGTTTGAGATAGACTTAACCGAAGCGATCAGAATGGAAGTAGACAATGAAACGGTTATTGAAGAGGACGCTGGAGATGAGGTGCAAAATGTGAAGGACCTACAAATGCTTGAGCGATTACATTTAGACAATGACAATGGCAACATTGCTCATTCGGATAGTGTTGATTATTTCGACATGATTGATAGTGATGATGAGACTTATGATCTAGCTAATCCCGATCATGAAGATTATTTCTAATACATGTAATACTATGTTATTTTGTAATTACGTTTTGTTTATTTTGCATCTCTTTCTAAGTACTTGTTTATCTGTGCATATTAGTTTACTCTTTTTAATTGCAGGTGATTGAACAAAGATAGTGGGCGGTGGGATGAGGAAGCTAGGTGATGATACTTGTGGTCGTTAATGGTACTTCTATTTGTAATTGTGGTTGTAGATGATGGAGCACTTGGATTACTTGTGAACTTATTTGTGATATATTGTGAGACATGTGACATTTGTGATATATATGTGGTGTTAGTGATATATATGTGTTGTTGATGATACGTATGTGATGTTGGTGATGTTTGTTATATATATCTTCTGTTTGTTTGGATGAAATGTAAAAAACAAATAAAAAGACTGTTTTTAGTCACTTTGTCGAGTGCAATGTCCATGACACTCGGCAAAGTGACGACCTGAGAACATGTCTGGGAACATGCTTTGTCGAGTGCATAGGCCATTGCACTCGGCAAACATCACAGATTTGCCGAGTGCCACGGGCCAGGCACTCGACAAAGGTGTCCTGTTTGTCGAGTGTCTTGACGGTGGCACTCGGCACAGTGGCCATCTTTGCCGAGTGTCTGAGTCAACAGCACTCGGCAAAGAGGTCACCTTTGCCGAGTGCTTGACCTTAACACTCGGTAAAGCCGTCGTCACGGTGGCGCTCGCCGTCACGGCAACTTTTCTTTGCCGAGTGTCAGATTAGCACTCGACAAAAGCTTTGCCGAGTGCCCGATAAAGTGCACTCAGCAAAGAGTTCTTTGCCGATAAACTGTTTACCGAGCGTTATTTACACTCGGCAAAGGATTTGCCGAACGTATATCGACCTTTACCAAGTGCCTAAGGCACTCGGCGAAGAAGCCGCCTCCGGTAATGCAGCTGCACCAACCGGCCGCCGGCCCTAGCACCAGCAGTGTTCATTGGAGCTGGAGGAGCTCTAGCGGTCTAGCCAGCTTCAGCGAGAAAACCTGCAGCATGTCAAATGGCTTATGGTAGCCGCAGTCGTCGTCCGGCTCATCATGCCAGCAGTCTGCGTTAGGCGCCGAGAACCTCATCGGCTCCACCGGTGTCTCGTCGCGGTCGGTGGGATCGAGCCGTAAGTACTCGGATTTCCGATACCACGATTCTTGTATATGGTGCCGTTCGCGATCCACGGTGTTCGCCAGGGGATCATCCTCGCGCCCATACACCTTCTTTTTCTTCTTCAATTTGCGCGCGGCGGTGGTGTTGACGCCGTCGTCGCCCTTGGTAGTGGTTACGGCGATGATGATCGGATGGTTGCCATCCATACCCGTACTAGTAGTGTTCGCCTTGGAATAGGTTGCTCCATTAATAATGCTCCGTGGTTGACCATACAAGGACAATCTAGAAATAGGCTGGATTGGCGGGGTCGCCGATGCCGCCGCATCGCCGAAGTCGTCCACGCCGTCGTGGAGCACGAAATGGACACCACCACAATGTTTCCTAGTGTCGACCACCGTAGGGCGCCGCATCCGCTTCTCTAGGTACGGTAGCGGTGGCCTCTTCCGGATTGGCCGGGATCGAATCGGTGGTGGTGGCGGCGGCGGCCACAGGGTGGGGTGGAGGAATGGCCGAGGAACTATAGGAACAAGAAGAGGGCGGGCCGGGCTAACCAAGGAAACGCCGCCGGGCAGGCCGTGTATATGAACTACCTGTTCTCGGGCTGGTGGTCTGCTGAGGCTAGCTTCGGAGAGGAAGCCCACGCCCACTCGACCTTCCCGGAATCGCCCATGACACCACGGGCACACGACTACGGCGGCGTGCACGCACGGCACGCCTAAAACTGCGTGTCTGTACAATGACGTCCACGTCCATGATTGAGTCCATTCTTAGGCTATCTCCAACGAGCAATACCTAAATCAACGACCCATTCCCAGATTTGCGTTCTACACAGTAAATAGGTCACCGACCCATCCGCTCCCTTCTCCAACAGCCCACCTCCCTCCCCGCGACCGATCCAGTGGAGCGTGCCACGGAGGAGGCCGGGCCTCCTCTCTCTCTCTCCGATGCTTCCTCTCTCTCTCTCTCTCCCTCCCCGACGCCCGACGTCCTCCCGGCGAGCTCACCGCGCCTCACCGCGCGCCCACCACGCCCCATCGCGCTCCACCGCGTCCTCCCTGCACCCCACCGCGCTCACCGCGCCATGGACGGCGGCGGGAGGCCCTCGGCGCGGTGGCCCGGCACAGCGACCCCAGGCGCGGCGGCGTTGGCACGGACGGGCCCTGGTGCGGCAACCCCGGCGCGGATCCAGTGGCGCGGCGGCCCCGACGATGTAGGCCCTCCTCCTCCTCCTGGATCTAGGGTTCCGGCGAGCTGCGTCGCGGGGAGGACGTCGCGGCTGCGCGGCGTGGCTACGTCGGCCGGGCTCCCACCCCTGCATGGCCTCCCTCCCTCCCTGCGAGATCCAGTGAGCGCCGCCCGCCTCCCTCCCCGCCTCGCCGTTGTCATCGTCGTCGTCGGGCCCGCCTCGCCGGTGAGCTCCCTCCTCTGCACGGCCTCCCTCCCTCCCAGCGAGATCCGCTGAGCGCCGCCCGCCTCCCTCCCCGCCTCGCCGTCGTCGGGCCCGCCTCGCTGGCGAAGATTTTGCGTCTTGGAGAAAGACGACGCAAATAAGCGTCTCGGGTGGCCTCATCCCCAAAATGCATGATGTGTTTACGTCCTCCGTTGGAACCGGTTTTCAGCAGCTAAAAACACTGTGCGTGACCCATTTTAGGTTTGCGTCGCCGTTTGCATAAGGGGTTGGAGACGGTCTTAGGCGTCCCCAGCGGCACTGGGAAATCGGCAGGCGAGGAGGTGGGCTGAAAGAATAAACTAATGTCTAGCTGCACAGCTTACGAAGGTGGGCCAGGGCAGAGGCACTGACTTCCGTGGGAATCTGTGCGAGCTGAGTGAGGGCAGTCCCAATGAAAGAAACTAGTAGTTTCTATAATATACTAGTAGTTTCTATAATATAGGATACCGCACCAAAAAAGTACTGCTTTCCAACCCATGGTTTCTATGAGTAATAATTATTTTCTCTTTCTCTCTCCCGACTCTATCTTCTTTCTCCAATGAGAGTGCGGCACGAACCCCCTAGAAACTGATGGTTTCTCCCCAATAGCGATTTCATAGTTTCTTGGTGCATTGGGTCAAGAGAAGACCTGATTTCTTCATGAGGAAACCATTTCTAAGATTTTTGCTCTATTTCTTCATTAATTACGTTGTCATATCAGCGTTTTGCCTACATGGCAAGTTATTTTATGAGGATAGAAACCATTATCAATACACCATTGGGACTGCCCTGAGGAGCTCCTCGCCGGCCTTCACTTTTCTGCCATCTCTCTCTCTCTCCTCCAAGTAGACAAATAGCTAGCTAGGTGTTACTTGTTGGGAGACCCTTAACATCCCGTGTGTAGAGGACGGGGCGTTTGAAAACTCTTCTTTCATTACTGTCTGGCTCAGAATGCAACTATAGGTTACGTGTAACAAAAAATAATTTATGTTTGATTACAGTTATGTCTTTAAATTAATTTATTATGAAAATACATTTCGTAATTAATCTGATGATATTTATTTAGTATCATAAACATGGATACTTTTTTATCTATAATTAGTCAAACTTAAGATACTGAAATGTGACACTGTGCTAGAATTGCATTTTTTTAGGTGGAGGTAGTATTATTTTTCGTCAGCCAAACAAAAAGACAACCATAAATATTAGGATTGAACCAGATATCAACCACATGAGACAATTGATTCACTGGTCCAACCATTGAAAAGCGGTTGAGCCGTCGGTTTGAGAGTTTTGGACAGGATGAATTGAGCCGCATACAAATACTTTCGAACCGGTGCAATATAATGATATATAACATGTAATTATCAGATCATATACATATAAGCTATAATGATGAATTGCGCCGGCGTGGGCAAGAGAGAGAGAGAGCGCGGTGCAGCAGGCAGCGCGGAGTGAAGCGGAGCGAGGCGAGGCGGCCAGGCACGTGCGGAGTTTATTTATTTATTTAGACGAGCTGCGTCCAGAGTGGAGTCTGGCGTCGGAGGACCGAACAGGATCATTATCGTTAAAACTAACACAGCTTAAAACTAAGCAGCTAACACAACGAATGAATTAATGAATTTATTTAGTCAACAATGTCAGACGGCCGACCAAGTCACCTTCACCGAGCCAGAAGCGAGACCATCAAGTTTTACATCATTGCTGGCACATCCATGCGCCTTAGCTTCAAAGGAACAACAACGCTCAACAACATTCGAGACGACGCCATTGTTCTGCTCTACCGCCTTTAACTTCAGATGCATCACAGTATCCATCGAGACAGCGACCACAAACCTCCTCAAACCACAGGGTTCAGCGACATGGCCACCGAAGAGCTGAAACTCCTTGTGTGCCACACCCGGCATCGTCGAAACAGCACAACCGAGAGAGAAATCGAACGCGTCATCTCCCACCTCGGATATGGCAACCTCAACCGTGGCCTCGAATCCGTAAACATTGCTCAGCGACATGTCCACGGCGCCGCCGGCGTCGCCGTTGATGCGGACGGTGCTCGGTTTGCCCGTCATGTGCATCTCGTAGAACTCCGTCATCCCGTCGATCAGCTGCGCATCGTCTTCCTCCCTGTCCCCGTTCTTGATCCTCATGTCGAACTCCAAGAGGACGTCGCAGTTAAGCACGATGCCTCTCTTAGGGCCGGTCATCTCAATGGGAGAGCCTTGCCGCGCGGGCAGGGGCACGGCGATCGGATCGTCCCTGCCGTGTCTGAACACGTAGTTGAGCTTCGAGTCGACGTCGTCTCGTGCGGCGATGTACCCATACAGCTGTACCAACCCCCCATGAGCGTTCATGGGAGCTGGAGGAGCTCTAGCCAGCTTCAGCGAGAAAACCTGCAGCATGCCATATGGCACATGCATGGTAGCCGCAGTCGTCGTCCGGCTCATCGTGCCAGCAGTCTGCGTTGGGCGCCGAGAACCTCATCGCCTCCAATGGGGTCTCGTCGCGGTCGGTGGGATCGAGGCCGAGGTAATCGGATTTCCATAACGGCAGATTCTTGTATATGGTGCCGTCACGGTGGCTGCTGTACGGGATGATCATCGCGGCCCATACACCTTCTTCTTCTTCAGCTGCGGCTGCGGCAGTGGTGTTGACATCGCCGCCGCCGTCCTTAGTAGTGGTAGCGGCGCTGATGGTCCGATGGTTGCTGACCCTGTCCGTAGTAGTGGTCACCTTGGAATAGGTTTCTCCAATGATGATCCACGGTTGTCCGTGTGATTTTTTTTAACACTTTTTTAAACTAATTTAACAATTTTTGAAAATTAATTTTAAATCTAACATTGTTTAATTTTTTTTCTCTGAAACTAACACTTTTGGCAGCGCCTATTTCCCTGGCGTGGCGAAATGTCTGTGCCGTGCTATGCATGGTGGCGCGGCGAGAGAGATGACATGGCGACGACTGGGGCGCTGACCGGTGACGTGGCAGGGTCTGTCGTGCCACCGATCTTGACGCGGCGCCGCCGCGCCATCCCTCACGGCGCGGCAGGAGAGGCCTGGAGAAGTCAACGCCTAGGAGGCCAGGGGAGGACGACGCAATGTTTGCACTCCAGAGACTACATACGCTCCTCGTGAGCGCCCTATGGCTGGGTCCACGTGTCAGATCCCGTGTACGTGTCGCCATAAAGAAAGACACAGCGTTGGGTCAGATTCCCTGGTGACCATAAATAAGGGGGTGTTTGGTTCCACGGACTAAATTTTCGTCCCTGTCACATCGGATGTTTGGACACTAATTTGGAATATTAAATATATACTAATTACAAAACTAACTGCACAGATTGAGACTAATTTATGAGATGAATCTATTAAGCCTAATTAGTCCATGATTTGACAATGTTGTGCTACAGTAAATATGTGCTACTGATGGATTAATTAGACTTAATAGATTCATCTCGTAAATTAGTCTCCATCTGTGTAATTAATTTTATAATTAACTCATGTTTAGTCCTCCTAATTAACATCCGAACGTCCGATGTGATAGAGACTAAACTTTATTAGTCTCTGGAACCAAACACCCCCTAAAATAGCATGGACCACGACGTCTGCTCAACCATGTGGCCACAGCTGCTAGCGCTTGCTGTAGCTCTGACGAGACGACACCTCCCTCGTGAATTGTGATGGTGGTCATCCGTGTACACACAGAGACGCTCGCTCGTGATGCACATGACCTGACCATCTGTGTCCATCCCGTATGTGAGCACGAATTATCACTGCTCATATATAGTTGCTCCTCCTATGATCCTGTCCTCCACTGCTCATAATATAATATAATATAATATAATATAATATAATATGTCATCTGCTGCTCCTCCAACGGTGGCTCATCCGTGCTTGGGCCAAGCCATGCTACGACCATCACATGATTCATGACTATTATATTATATTATATTATATTATATTATATTATATTATATTATATTATATTATATTATATTATATTATGAGCAGTGGAGGACAGATCACCTGAGGAGCAACTATATATGAGCAGTGATCGTTCGTGCTCACATACAGGGTGGACACAGATGGTCAGGTCACGTGCATCACGAGTGAGCGTCTCTGTGTGTACACGGATGACCACCATCACGATTCACGAGGGAGGCATCGTCTCGCTAGAGCTGCAGCAAGCGCTAGCAGTTATGGCCACATGGTTGAGCAGGCGTCGTGGTCCATGTTATTTTATTTATGGTCACTAGGAAATCTGACCGAATGCTGTGTCTTTCTTTATGGCGACACGCATACCAGATCCGGCACGTGGACTCAGCCATGGGCGCCACGAGGAGCGCCCGCAGCTCGGAGTGCGCATATTGCGCCGTCCCTTCCTAGCCTCCCTAGGCGCCGACTTCTCCGCCCTCCTCGTCACGGCCGTGGATGGATGGCGGCGCGCGCGCCGCCAAGATCGGTGGCGCGACATACCCTATCACGTCACCGGTCAGCGCCCCGGTCGTCGCCACGTCATCTCTCTCGCCACGCCACCATGCATGGCGCGGCACAGGCATTTCGCCGCGCCAGGGATCATGGGCAACGCTGTAAGTGATGGGAAGCCCCGCCGGCAGCGCCCCCGTCCTTTGGACTCCACTGTGCCTACGCTGCTACGACACCGGCGCCCATGCCGCGTGGCAGAATGCCAGCGAGCCGGCGGCTCGGATCTTCTTCACGCTCGCTGGCGGATACGACGGCGCGATCTGCTTCTCGCGCTACGACGGTGGTGTCTGTGGCAAAGGAGCCCTGGTAGGTACCCTCACCGCTCCGTCCTTCTTTTGCTGGGGTTAGGTCTTAGGGTTCGGGTTTGGCAGGATCCACCGTTCATCTTCCCTGCCTACTTTTCGTGAGTTAGGGTTAGGGTTAGTGTCTGGGTCGATCCGAATCGGGCCAAATCGAGCCCTCTTTCTTCTGTTGTTCTTCCCCTTCTAGGGTTAGGGTTAGGAACCCTCTGCTTCGATCCGAATTGGATCTTTCTCATCGCCTTCTAAATTGCTACTTTCCCTATCTAAATCTACACACTAGAAAACCTGGCTCTGGTACCATTGATAGATCATTGTACCTCTAAAATCGTAGATCAAGGGATAAACTTGACTTAGATGGGGAAACTTGGTGATGTACCTCGCCCTAGGGCGATTCTGACCATGGCGCCCAGCAATGACGTGGCCGCCAAATGTCGTAGGCGCAGTAGGCGCGGTGGAGCACTGAGGGACGGGCGCACGGCCGGGCTTCCGTCACTTGCGCTACCGTCCATGATCGGAGGGTTACTTCGGTGGGTCAGTGGAGGTGTCGAACCTCGTCGAACCTCGTCTCCCGTGCCCTGGCCTCCATCTTTCTCTTTACTTATAGCGCTGTGTGACAGGGGCCTGCCGACCAGTGGTCGGTTAAGCGTCCCCGGTCAGGACGCGGTCAAGGGGTCCGATTGGCCATTAGGCCAATCGGTGGAGATCAAACTAACAGTCCGTACAAGGAGAATCGGGAAAGTTGCTGGGTTGGAAGGGTCGTCGCCGATGCTGCCGCATCAGCGAGTCGTCCACGTCGTCGTGGCGCAATAGATGGACACCGCCAGCGAGATCCTAGGGTCGACCGTGAGAGGCGCTGCATCTGCCTCTCTATCGCCTTGGTATGGTAGCCGGTGGCTTCTTCCCGATTGGCTGGGGATCGAACCAGCGGCGGCGGCGGCAGCGGCCGGAGAACTATAGGAAGAAGAAGAGGGCCGGGACGGGCCAGGCCGTATGTATGAACTACCTGTGGTTAGGCCCACTCGACCTTCCTAGGTCCATGATTGAGTCAGTGTGTAGGGGGCCGTTTGACAACTCTTCTTTCAAGCAGTTTTTATCACCTCTAAAAAAAAGAAGCAGTTTTTTATCATTTTTCCTCAGCCAAACAGACAATATGTTCTGGTGAGAGCAAATTACGTCTCCATTCGCACTTAAAGCTAGAAATCAATGTAGAACTAATTCTCTCCTGCTCTCTATCCATCAGAGAATCAAGAATCTAAAGCTAAGAATAATCTATTTCCGATTCATATCCCACGGCCGTCTTGCTTATAGTACCTTCATCCTTAGTGGCGGAGATGGATATAGGAAAAGAGGAGTCAATATGACATCAAATGGAAGCACAGGGGATCAGATTGGTATTATGTTAGCACTTAAAACAATGAAGTACTCCTACTAAAGTAATACCACTAGTGTTTAGTTTGGTGAGTTGTAACGCAAATGGAAAATCAAATTACAGGTTAATCAGAGGTGGGAAGGATGATTGCGGCCTTCGCTTGCCGCAACCAGCTATGTGCAGCTCCTGCCATCATGATCTCCGCCAAGAGCTTATGCGACGGCACCGGCCTATCCAAGCTGAACCAGGCTTTCCTGAGTCTATCCCGTCCATGCCTACGCCGTGATCTGATTAATTTCACGACAAAACAAAATGGCGAACCAAACACCACCTTAAAACTCAGATATAATAATAATCAATAAAACAGCGAACTATCGAAGGAAGGGGAGTAGCTAACTATTATTATTAATAACCTAATCTACAACTAGGAGTAGTATATATGATCAGACAACAGTGCTGAAACACCGTTTCGCTGACAATCAGCTCAGCCGATGGTATCCTCACGAGGAGCTCCCGTTGCCTCTTTAGCTTTCTTTTCTTCTCTCGCACGAGCCCTCATATCAGAGTTCATTGGCACAGCAACTTTCAGCAGATCAATGAAAGCTTCGACATCCTTGACCTCCCTTTCATCTCCAAGATAAGTATCATCTCAATCATCAAAGGCTCAGGGACCCAGCCAGAATTAGGGCGTACATATAGAGGGCATTTTTGGTCAGCTCATAAGCTCTCGCAACATCACCTTTCTCCGTATAGCCACTTGCCACAATTTCCCAGCTGGTTGAATGAGGCATCTTTCCCTTTATCAAGAAGTCATCGAGCAGCGCCTCGGCCTTGTCTAGCAAGCCCTTTTAGCAGTATCCTTTGAGCAGGATATTTGGAAATTTGAAGTTGAATGCATTTTTGCTGGACTCCCACTCTTTCAGCAAGTGTTCAGCTTCCGCGATCTCATCAAGCTTCACAAGCACTGCAAGCATGTTGGTGTAGTCCGTGTTAAGATGCCTCTTACAATTCAACATTTGCAGTGCCCATAGCCTCTTGACCTCTGATTTGTCCCCAAGGTGTCCATGCAGGGAAATCAAGTGGCTACAGGCACCGGAATCCTTTTTATCCATTTTTGCCTCAGCTTTCTGTAAGGTAGAGTATGCGTTCTCCCTTAGGTCACCCTTAATGTAGTGGCTTGCAACAACAGCTGATAAAGCCAGAGAATTGGGCACTTGATTGATGAACTGGTGGGGAGATTACAGTAGTCGATACAAGCAAGGGCAGCATCAGAAGAGCTAGTTCGCCCTCCCTGGGAGGCTCTGAACGTGACAACTCTTCTTCTGCTTGATCCTAATGCCCAGCCGCACAAGTGGTTATAATACCCACATGAGCAGCTGAGGTACTCCTATTATTCCTGCGTGTTCTAGCTAGCGCTTGGACTCCTATTATTCCTGCATGTTTTAATCTTAGCAAGCTTGGACTAATCCTAGCCACTAGAGCCAGCCGAACCTTTCTTCTTCTTCCT